CGGACCGCCGCCGTGAACTACTCGGAGCTGACGCAACCCACGACGCGCAACCGGGCTGACCTCAACGACCTGACCGGCGACCCGACACGCCACACGACCGCCGATCCCGCCCAGACCGTTCGATCTGGCTTCTTCGTGTGCTATTCCCGGTCATCTCGAATCAGTCAAATTTAGAAAATTTTTAAGCCGTAAGTATTTTACGTCAAACTTTTAGATCCACTGCGCATAGGTTTACGTTTTCTATTGAATTCGTGACTTGTACATAACGAGATCTTCATAGATCCTAATAGAAGGCAGGATCGACCTTCAAGTCATCATAAAGATCTTTCATGTTTTGATGCCAAAGCTCGTGATAAGTGAGTGTTGGGGCCACTTGCATCGGAACCTTCTCCTTCTTAGCGAGCTCTTTGGTTTGGCTCGACAATCTAATTCTTAAGGGATTTGTTATCCTCGGGCATTAATCCCCTTCTGATATTCGATGGTCTCCCAGTTGTACTTCACCCTCAACCCCTCGTGGGCCGACACTGCATCCCCGACCTAAGCAGATAGTTTCTCCGTATTAGCGATCAGTACCTCATTGTCAATTAGGAGTCCAGTCACTTTCTTCTCAAGAAGTCATACATTGTTGTCTTGATCCTGCAAAGAAAAATTATAACATCGTATAGGTCATGGAGATCCTTCAGTTTTTTTATATTTTTTTAGCTTGTTTAGCTTTCTTGGCAGCCTGGGCCTGCCGAACCATGGCTTGGGCTATACTAGAAGTGGAGTACTCAATACACTCTGAATTGGTAAACAAAGAGGATGAGGATTCGACATATGGATCCCAGCTCATCAAGGGGTCTTGGCAGCTGGGATGACTGTTGTAGCAAATTATTTTTTATTTTTACCGAGTACCGAATCAAATGAATCGTTTCCCGGGTCGTCTCTCGAGGAAGGCGGTTTGAAATTTAGATTCAGTGTTGATAACAAACAAGAGTAAATAAACCCTAAACACTAATCAAGATGGATGGTTTTATCAACTAAGAACTATAAAATAATGCAAAAACATAAATCAGCCGAAAATAAGAATCAAGTGACGATAGAGAAGCTAAGGCGTCGGGGATGATGATTTTCTAACCAATGCAAATATCAAGATATGATCATTCGGTTAAATGGTTCAAACAACCTAACGTCTAGAGATAGTCCTCAATAACTCTTCATAACAAGAGGATAAAATAGACGGTGAATCAAACAAACCACACAACATATAAACAATACGCAACCGAACAAGTCTATTTCATGCGAGCCTAGATCGATCAACTCCTCCCCTTTCGGTTCCTAAGAGTTGATTAATTATCCTAGATGATTGTTAATCTACTAGTTCGTTGGATTTAAACATATCAACCAAGAACGAATCATATTCAATTGGAAATCAATTGCAAATTGAAGTGTCACTCTTCGATAATATTCAACATTCAAGCATGAGAATTATAAACCCTAGTTAAGCACAACTCGCATAAATTGAACGATCAACAAGCATGAAAATCACAATTAAATTCTTAACATCATCATCATCCCCCATCCCTAGCGAACGGATTAGCTACTCATATGGAATTCAAAATCAACAATCTCAACAATCAAAGTCCTCATATTCATGGATTAGATGAAAATAGAAACTTACAATTAATAGAAATTCGATATTCAAATCTAATGACAAAGCTAAATCCAGAAAAGTAATGAGAGAATTGAGCAAAAAAAACGATCTAAATCTGAGTTTTGGAGAAGGAGAAAGTGAAAAAACAATATTAGGGATCGTTCCCACGAGTCTAAGGATCATTTTGATATATACTCGAAAAATGGAGCTAAAACGAGAAAAATCGAGAATTGCAAAATCTGTTCGCGGGCCCTCACGGCCGCGGGCCCACAGGTGTTGGGCGCTGGTGTGGGGCGCGGTCGTGGGTCGCGACCTAGGCTTCACTGCACCATCTTACATTTCGACCTCGTTTGAGCTCGTCCGAACTCGGAATTGAGTTCTGTTTTTTCTTACGCGTAGCTAACGAACTCATATATTCAACTATGCTCTCGAAACCAATTTTTCTTGAAGAGAAAATTCGCCCAAATTTCCGGATCTACACACTAAAAATGACAAAACACAAAAGAAAACATGAAAAACAAACGAAAAACACCAAAAGACTCAAAATGAAGGAAAACACATAATAAAGTATGAAACAAACTAAAAACTAAAGAAACGAGCTAAAATGGTGGGGAAAAAAGATTAAATAAACACGAAAAATGCAACAAAAATGAGACAAACAACTCCCCCACATTTAAATCTTTGTTCGTCCTGAACAAAAAGAAAAGAAAAGAAAAGAAAGGACACAAAACTAAAAACACGAGCATGGACAACAATCATTAACAAGATAAGCTTCAAAATGTTCAACTTCAACAACAAGCATTCAAATGGCATATACGAGCACCACACAACTACATGCTTGATCACTATACTTCGACATGGCGTTCTCTCAGTATGTGAATATATATGTGTGCCTCACTCGGATTCTTATACAAAAAAAGATAGGTGCACTCAAATTGGTCGATAACAAGTTCAATCATATGCTTGGCCATTGTCTAACTGCTACTCTAAACCAATCAAAATCGAAACTAGTGCATCAAAATGTCTTTCAAGGTTGTAACGTAGGCCCTTTGGATAGGTAGGATAAATATAGGTTAAGTGACTCGAATTCATTACATAACTCAAACACCTTACCCCAAGAATCATACACCCAACCGGTTGCTCAAACAAACCGGATCCTCCCCCACACTTCTCCTAAAACCACACGCTTCACCCATCTTATTTCATTTCTTTTTCCTTATTTTATTTTATTTTATTTTATTTTGTAAACCCCATTGGACTTTTTATAATCCATTAGGCTACTTTTTTTTTTGATTTTTTTAATATAAAAACAACTCTGACAAACAACTCCAATAATCATCCCCTCCAATTCTTAACTCGCAACTCCAACAACGTCATCATCACGAGGTATCAACAAAAATCAAATAAGGCTAAAAAAGGGAAGACTAGGGAATAATTTGCAGAGAAAGAAAAGGATATAATACAATAAACGCCTTAATCATATACACAGTTCACAATTCTAATCAATTTATTTCAGTGCAGACTCAGGGCAAGTTCTAATCAAACAAGAGCACGACCAATGTATCTCAAGAAATAAATAAGGCTCAAACCTCACTAGGTAGATATATGAGTGCCAATCAAAGTAATCAACCAAGCATTTTATCACGCTTTGCCGCATATGACCAACATCACAACTCATCGAATTCATCAAACAAGTCTTAACTAATCTTGAAATTTCCAAAGTCCATACTAGAAAATGCACAAAAGCTACACTAGACCGGTCCACCATATAGGCATGCAAAAAGTCAACTTCTCCCACACTTAAAATGAGGCAATGTCCTCATTGCTTCAACACAAAACATGAAGTCAAATAAAGGACCTAGCAATTTCATATAACAAACCAATACTAGCAACTATCACAAGAACAAAAGACTCAAAAGAAAGGACATGAGAAAGAAACAACTCAAAAAGGTAAAAAAAGAAAAAGGTCCGCAAACTGAAGATGCCTCGAGGAAAATAAGAATCCATGTGCAAGCCGATCACCCACGCTCAAGCTCGCGAACTCATTCCTGCCAATAAGAACCACAAAAACTCTCAACTCCTCTTATTCAAAGAGAAAACTAAAAAGCATAAAGAAAAATATCAAAGAAAGCAATAAATCATTTGGGTTGCCTCCCAAGAAGTGCTTGTTTAACGTCATTAGCTTGATGAAACCTGTGAAGAACTCAGCCGGGTTCCAAAAGAAGTGTCAATCATGCCACACCTTCGTATTCTCTAGTAGTGGTAGCATGGGCAGTGTGGTAAGAAGGCAAACACGGTGGATACAGATGGCTGTGTTCTTGAAGAAGCGAGTGTGGGCACGAACAATCTCGAAGTACTGATGAAGAGCTTTGTTCACCAACTCTCTATAGTCGACCTCGGGAAATATGAGAATATCCGTAGGGCATGTGAAACTATATACATCTGTATCAGTAGCACAAGGTGGTGGCTCGGAATGTGAACCCTCCAACTCGATCGTGGGAGGAGAATCTTGAGAAAATGTGAACTCAGGGACATCTCGATCATGGATAGAGGCCTCACTAGCTTGTGAATGGATACGGTCGATGCGTGTTGTTAGACTCTCCACTTGTGCGCTCAACCGAGCACATCCGAGCTCAATCTCTTCATCTCGGCTAGCCTGGGCCATCACCTGAGCAAGGATAAGATCAAGTTTAGCATTGTATCCCGAAGAGTCATCATCGAGCTCAGTGAAAGACATAGGCTCTGGATGTGGGTCCACAACCATGGGCTCGTCGGCTTGTGACTCAATAGAGTCGATGCACCTTGCTAGACTCTCCAATTGCTCGCTCAAACGGGCACACCTGAGCTCCACCTACTTTTCTCGGTTTTCTTGGGCCATCATTCGATTGAGGATTAGATCACATTTCTCATTGAATGCGGCCTCTTCTTCTCAAGATGTTATAAAGGTAAGAATTCTGTCGAGCTTCTCATTATGCTCTAACGGTCGCTCCTGAAATTCATAGGTCTGGTCAACCGATGCCAAATTCTATTGCTTCTCGTAAGGAAATGAACATGCTTGGCCATATTCCCAAGAACCGTAGCTCGACCCTTATTCCAAGATCGAGCGTACGAGGGTGCGACTGGGTAGCATGAGTTCATTAGGCTCTTCGGTCAAATCTCTGCACACAAGAACAGAACAACAACATGTAGCCACGAAAAGAAAGGAAAAAGAAGACAGAAACAAAAGCAAGAGAACAACAAAGATGCACAAAAGAAAAAAACAAAAATACGAAAAACCCAAAATAAAGAGACACAAAAAAATAAAATCAACACCAAAACTAAAAATCCTACTTGCCTTCCCCGGCGACGGCGCCAAATTTGTTGTAGCAAATTATTTTTTATTTTTACCGAGTACCAAATCAAAAGTTTCTTCCAGGGTCCATCTCTCGAGGAAGGCAGTTTGAAATTTAGATTCAGTGTTGATAACAAACAAGAGTTTAATAAAGCCTAAACACACTAATCAAGATGGATGGTTTTATCAACTAAGAACTATAAAATAATACAAAAACATAAGTTAGCCGAAAATAAAAATCAAGTGACGATGGAGAAGCTAGGGCGTCGGGGATGATGATTTTCTAAGCAAGGCAAATATCAAGCTAAGATCATTCGGTTAAATGGTTTGAACAAACTAACATCCAGAGATAGTCCTCAATAACTCTTCATAGCAAGAGGATAACATGGACAGTAAATCAAACAAACCACACAACATATAGACAATACGCTACCGAACAAGTCTATTTCATGCGAGCCTAGATCGATCAACAATTAACAAAAACTTAGCTGCTCATATGGAATTCAAAATCAACAATCTCAACAATCAAAGTCATCATATTCATGGATTAGATGAAAAGAGAAACTTACAATTAACAGAAATCTGATATTCGAATCCAATGACAAAGCTAAATCCGGAAAAGTAAAAAGAGAATTGAGCAAAAAAAAAAGGATCTAAATCTGAGTTTTGGAGAAGGAGAAAGTGAAAAAACAATATTGGGGATCGTTCCCACGAGTCTAAGGAAAGTTTTGATATATAATGCTCGAAACCAAAGCTAAAACTAGAAAAATCGAGAATTACAAAATCTGGTCGCAGGCCCTCGCGGCCGCGGGTCACTGCCGCAGCTGGGGGCGCACAGGCGCTGGGCGCTGGTGCGTGTCGCGACCTGGGCTGCACTGCACCATCTTAAATTTTGGCCTCGTTTGAACTCGTTTGAACTCGAAATTGAGTTCCCTTTTTTCCTACGCGTAGCTAACGAACTCATCTATTTACTATGCTCTCGAAACTAATTTTTCCTGAAGAGAAAATTCGCCTAAAGATCCCGACCTACACACCAAAAACGACAAAACATAAAAGAAAACAGGAAAAAAAGAACGAAAAACACCTAATGACTTAAAATAAAGGAAAACTCATAATAAAGCACGAAACGGATTAAAAACTAAAGAAACGACTAAAAAACGGTGGAAAAAGAAAGATAAAATAAGCACAAAAAATGCAACAAAAATGGGAAAAACAATGACCTTGTCGGGGTGATGATACACATGCGAGAGATCGAGGGTTACCACCGACTTGAACTGGACACACCATCCTTTTAGAAAGTCGGACAACTTCCCAAAAATTTTCACCATCTTATCATCATTCTGAAGATAATGGCAAGTGCTTGCCTAGTGGATAGGGGAACTAAGTTCCTTTTTGAGATCGCAGCCAACGACTCCGACCACCTTCGTACGATCTTTCTTCAAACCTCAATGGGCGGCTTTTTTCTTCCGCGGCAAAGCCTTGTCACCACTAGTCGCAGCGCCCTGCTTATGTCCAGTCCGACCTCTGTGGCCTCTCACGCGACCTGCCGTGGATGGTTCAGTCGGGATGAGATCTAGTTGGTGGGGTCCACAGCCAAGATCGACACTGGTTTAGCTTGATCTCTCAAGGGGGGGGGGGGGGGGGATGGCTGCTACCTCAACTCTTCGATGGACTCATGGTCACGATGCTTATGCGATCCATGCTTTATTCGGACTTCTTAGTCTGTTCTTCTTCATTTTTGGGTTTGGGTTACTGCGAATATACATTTTCACTGTCTGGACGGATTGGAAACCACAGAAGTCATCAAAGAGTAATAATATTTAAAGATAAGTGTTTAAGTCGTAAGCAATAAAAGTTCACAACAAGTATTTCAGAGTATAGAGACCAAACAATGATAAATAGAATACTGACCTGGATCAAAATCAAAATTGACAAAAGCTGGACTAAGAACAACTTTTCTTAAGCTCTTCTCCTTGATTAGCTTTCTCTAATGCCTTTTACCAACGTCCTCGTCAAAAAGATCAGTTAAACGACTGTAAAATTTTGCACTCAGCTCGAGAACTTTGTGCTGCACTGAAACAAAGAGAGCTGACTTGCTAGCACAAAAATAAAACATAATCAGCTACTAAGAAAGAAGAAACGAGAAAGGCGGTCTTACATTTTTCAGTTAGAAATTTAGTCGTCACATGTGCTGACCATCTTACCAATCGCCACCATGTCGGGGGTTTCCCAAGCTACATCGACCCAAGACCTCTCGTTCTGAAAACTAGGCAAAGTGTCCGGAAATTTGGCAACTACATTTTTGTCAATTCCCAATCTCACAACACCAGAATAACACCCTGATTTTTTAGCAATCTTTTTGAAAGCAAAAACACCCTAAATCTCTGCTGCGGTTGGAGCTGACCTTCCTCTCTCAAGGAACAACACGATTAACTCTCGTATTTTAGTTCACACATTCGACACTATTTGGATAAACCCTACCCCAATCTCGTGAACGTTCTCTGTGATGAGACCGGGTAGGAAAAACCTCATGCCCGACGCCATGCTCTGTTTGAAGATGTCAATGCAGTCCAGAGAGGGGCAATGGATCATTTCTTCTAGGTATGGGTCAAACATTCTTACCGATGAGGCAAACTAATTTCCGTCCCTCAACATGACAATCTCAGCGTCGTTCATGTTACTAATGGTCTTACCTAGAGTTAAATGGCTGGTCTTGCCTTCGCCACAATCTATTCGGCACCACAACAGCCTTCTTCACCACTTGGTCGGCTGTACACATCGCGGACCAAAGGCAACAGCTATCGACAATGGGTGTTCCTTTGAAGTACCTCCTCCACGAGACCCATGCTGATATCCTCATTCAGATCCAGATCCAGATCCAGATCCAACAAACTCCCATAGTGGCAAGAACGCAATGCGCCCCGCCGTCTCAATTTCCACTGCCCTGGGCGGTGAAAACAATACCATCTTAGTTGTCGTTGCAGACAGAGATGCACTTTCATCTCTGGCCGGTTCAGGATCACTAATGCGGTACGCGAAGAAGACATAACAATTGAATTAAGAAAAGAAGAAAATGAGTGTAGTCTGACTGGAAGATCTCTAGAGTACAAGAATAAAATAAAAGCGATGGTCGCGGAGATACAAAATGTGCAGGGTGAAATGCACATGTTCCATAAAGAAAAAAATTTGTTAAGAAAATTAGCCCGCGTATTTATAGAGATGGACGATAAGATCATACCGACACGATTTTTCAAGAAAAACAAATGCTTGAAGCTAGATGGGCCCCGCTGGAAGTAATCATTAAGAACGCGACGGATGGTGAAATCGTCGCCATGTCACTCAGATTTCAACACACGCGACTTTTAAGGGCAACGTCATTTAAACGGGAAAACCTTCGTGTATCGCCATTAAGAACCTTGGGACCGCACCCTTTCGGTTTTTACATGAGTAGGCGAGGCAGTTTTTTGCTCAACTTGGATTACAGAAGATCACGACCCCTGAAGTGACAACTCGGGGTGTCACTCAAGAGCTTAGGGGTCTGAATGTTGACATCCGAGCTGAGATGGAGCAACCCGTGGATAAGTAATGTTTTAAAATGTGTAATTATCTTTAAGTATGGAGCTCGGATAAACCGACTATGAAAGGATGATTAACTTCGGCGACGAGGGGTAATGAGAGTCGAGTTAGAACAATGAGATGCTCATCACGTAAGAAATATCTGACGTGGAATTTACTGAACGAACTTACTATTGAAGGTCAGCATACCCGAAGGCCTAATAAGAGAATCGATCAAGTAATCGTTCGGTGAAAAATCTGAGCTTGGGGCTTTGGCTGAATCAGGGGACCGCAGCATAAAAATTAAGACTGATCACAACTAAGGCGACAAAAATTCTTAAAATAATGGCAACTTGTGCCAACATTATTAATGATGGGACATGCCAGTAAAAGCCTGCCCGTTTACGCCGAAAAGCTTTGTAGGGTCACATGCAACAGTTAATGCTAAAGATTACTGCCCGAGAAACAGTAATCGGGCCACCTTACTATAAATATTCCTAGGAATCTATTGTTAAATGGTTCAGAAAAGTCTCACGGGAAAAACAAATATTCCTTCAATAATATCGCTTTTACGACAAATATTCGAGCTATTCATAGAATAATCTGACCTCACATTTACACGATTTAAAATGAACTCACTACATTCAATCATGTTTTAATAACTTTATTACCTTGCTACCAGCACTAATTTGATGATTTGGGTTGATCAAATTCGGCGATCAATAAATTTGTTAGGGAGTGAAATATAGACGATTTGTTTTACTCAGTAATGCTAAAGAACC